GTGTTAACTTTATTTGATCTTATAATAAAAAATAAACTCTTCTTAAAACAAAAATTTTTCTCGCAATCTTTACGACTTTAACTTGTCAACTGAGCGTTTTAGGCATTACGTTTATGTGGATATTATTACTATATGAATGTTTTATTTACATTAATGTATCTTACACGGTTACATATAGCCAGTCCATATTTTTTGAAACACCTTATATGCATACTATATACGGGGTAATCCATTTAAAGTGTTATAAGCTATTATCTCTGAAAGTACGTGTCATAACCAAAAATACTTAAGACAAAAATGGTTTGAAAGGGGTCAAATAATAATAAAGTTAATTTAATTTTCTAAATTATATAAAAGTCATTATTAATTTCTTAAATGCAATGCTCTAGTTTTGATAGCAGATTCTTACAGCTCATATCGAGACGTTTCCAAAATGATATAATTAAACTCCCTTCCGTTAAGAACTTCCTGGCTTATAAATTTAAATTTACGATAGCATTGACATTATTCAAAGTGTATTAGGTGATAATAAAGATTGTGAGGCTTAACTCATATTCATTTGACTTTCTGTATGTATCTGAAAATACGAAGGATTTTTTTTCAAAAGTGGATAAAACGAAGAGATACAATACACTGGCCTCCTCGTTCTCCATATTTAACGCTATTTGATTATTTTCTATGGGATACCATTAAAAGTCGAATTATGACAACTGCTCCAACAGACAATGGAAGATATGAAATACAGAATTCAACAAACTTGCTCTAAAATTACGATAAAACAATTGATAAAAATTTATCAAACGTTTCGGCGGAGATTACAACTATGTTTACAACAAGAAAGTAAATATTTTGAATATTTATTTAATATTATTAAATTGATTGCACGAGCGCGAGCGTGGTATGGTAGATAGCGCACTAGTCTACCATGCTAGAGGTCCCGGGTTCGCTCCCCCCCGGCATAAACCAGAAAATTTTCACACGCTCGTAGCTCCTCTTCGGTGGCCCAGCAAACCACCAAAGAGTAATCTCTTGCCAAGAAAAAACTTCTCTCCAACCTTGCTGTTCGGAACCGGCGTTAAACTGTGGGTCCCATATGTATGTATAGGATCTGTGTACGCACCATGCTAGCTTCCGTAGGACTAATAACCCACGTGGAGCAAAAAGCATCTATTCAGAGATAAATGAAATACCCCGACGCTTAGCGGCACAAAGGGGAAGAAGAAGAGAAGAAATTGATTGCATTATTTAATTGATGCGAAGAATTCTGATGAATATGTACACGAACATAAGAGGCAAGGACTCACGCTAATCCGCCAAGCATATGTGCGCTTACATTTACATACAGATACAACATATAGAAAGACAAATGGAGGATATAAGTTAAGCCTTGCAATCTTTATTATCATCTGATATACTTTGGATAATGTCAACGCTACCATAAATTTAAAGACTCAGGAGGTTCTTAACGGAAAAAAGTTTAATTATACCATTTTAGAAACATTTCGATGTCAGCTGTAAGAATCTACTATCAAAAATAGCATATTCCATTTAAGAAATTAATAATTCATATGATCTTGAAAATTTGATTTTTTAACTTCACTGTTATTTGACCCTCTTCAAACTATCATATATCATTTTTGTCTTAAGCATTTTTTGCTATGATGCGTACTTTCAGTAATATCAACTTGTAACACTTTAAGTGGACCACTCTGTATATGTATATTATTAAAAAAAAATATGTATATATTATTTTAAAATAGCTATCAATTAATATAAAAGTAATATAATTATTTACATTAATTTCTAATTAATTATTTATATTATTATGTCAATATATATTATTAGTTGGATTCACAGCGCCGATGGAAACACCATGAAATGTTGATCGGTGATTTCTATGTAATTCAGTCTTCCATCGTAAATATAACAGTAATGTAAGGATAAAAAACAATAGTATTCTTTAGAGCGCAAAACACCTATCACGAAAAAGTTAACTACATATGATGTTTCATGTTCATGTGATTTGTCAGTTCGTATCGACGGTAAAACATTTTCATGCAGATTTTGCAGTGGAACTTGGGCAGCTTGCCGCACTCCAGTCTCTGATGTCTTCGCAAATTATCCATCCATTTATATCCTTTGCCGCACTCCCCGCACATGAAACGTTGTTCGTGCGCTGGCGTTGTCTGGCCACGATGTAGAGGTGCACTGATTGTGTCTAAGTCACTGATGTTCGGATCCAACATGTTAAGTTCGTCCATGAGAGCACCAGCTGAAACACGAAAAGATTCCATTATTTGGGGAAACTAATGGCGATTGACGTCGAAGCAACTATGCGAATACTGACCATCGGGTATTATAATTATTATTATATTATAATTATTCGTTGAGTGTTAGTTATTGTATTATGATCTTGTGATTTAGCAAGACTGTGTCGATGTGTCGATGTCTCTTTTCAATTCGCAGAATTTGAATACTAATTCGTACTTCCGCAATAGATTATTAATTTTTTAATTACAATTTAACCGATAATCGCCTTAAAATTGAACGAAAAATTAGAGGACTCTGTTTAAAATTATTCATATTAGTTATAAAATTTGGACAGAAGAATTTCCAAGGTGGATTTTTATTTCTGAATATTAAACTGGAAGATAGAGGAACATATTGCATTGTGTGAGTAACGTAATATATGCGCGTTCGTATAATTATACGAAGAAGATTTACTTAAATATTTATTGAAAAAAAGCATGATAATTCTTTTCTTTTATTAAAATCGTACATTAGTTTTCGGGAAAATACAATTTTTGGTTTCGCTGGTATAAAATCGATAGAATGAAAAAACTTTGGATCACAAATTTCATACATTATTTGAGTATCTATCAACAACTTTCGACTATGCTTCCAAATAAAGGCACGTAAGAAACACAATCCTCTTTTGAGATAAGAAAAGATAGACCTTTAAATTCAAACATTTTCATCATATTAATACCGTTCAGACAAGCAAATCTAAGAATACTAACTAAAATACTAATCGAAAGTATTGCACAAAACAAAATACGACACAATTTATACATGTCAATAAATTAAATGCGTTTCGATGAAAACATCAATTCTTAAAATAATAATCTCAAAAACAATTAGTCAAGAAATAGTAATGCAATTATGCACACACAGATATATGCATGTATAAAACTTTTTACACGCAAATATTTTACATTACAAACTAATATAATCATACGTATATCATATGAATAAATTATTTTTATCAGATACTATAATTGATGACTCACGCGTTGATTATTCAATATATCGGTTGACACAAATATGCTTTAAGATTACAAAATGTACATTCATATATAGTACATTAATTATATTCACAGCATTTTATGAAAAGAAAAGATAGGGTCAAAATGTGTATTTTAAAGTAATTAAAAAAACTGATATCGCAACATATTGCGTATTATATGATATTTAATTTCGATAAACTAATTGTTAAATTATGTCAAGTTCGCTCATTTTTCACAGCACTATTATCATTGGCAGAATTTTAATTGAATATAACAATAAGACTAAAATAAAAAAAATATATAATGTATCAGTCACTTTTTTTTTATTTTTCAGATGTTTTAATAAATAACAATCAATAGTTATGCAATGATGATTTTTCCGACAATAAATTACCGACTCGGCAGTTTTCGGATAGAGTAAGATATTAACAATCCTTACGTTCTCTCAACGCTTAATGTACGCGTTTACTCAAATACGAAAAAAGATCACATTTCTTATCAATAGTCTCAGTTGTTCCATTGCTACCTTAATTAAATTCGCAAGCATCTAAAATCAAACATACAAAGTATGAACAGAAATCGACTCTTCAAGAACGCACATAGAGAAAAAATACATGATGACAAATATAATATGTGACATATATATATTATATCATGTACACAATATACGAGAATATATGAAATAAAATATAACGAGAAGATCTCTCTCTCTTTCTCTCTCTCTCTCTCTCTCTCTCTCTCTCTCTCTCTCTCTCTCTGTATATTACAATTACTTACATGCATATAACAATTAGCATATGACTAAGAAAGTGTACATTCATGTTCTGCATTTGTTCTCACGCGTCCACGAAGCGTTAAGCGTTTCCGGTCGCTTCAATTTCACTTCCTTTCATTGAATATTTTTGTAATCCAAGTTTCACACTCAAAAGACGAATTCGAATGATGCGCGAGCAAGTGCTCCTTATATCTGTCCCGTCTGTAGAATTTCTTCGAGCAGAACATGCACTTGTTCCTTGCTTCCTTATTACCGCATTGGAGCTGATGGCGACGTAAACTGCACATCCACGTGTAACTCTTGCCACATAAATCGCACGTAAACAGTTGTCGTTTGCTCAGGTCGTCGTCCGCGTTTACCAAAATCACACGAAATGTAGTGTCGTCGAAGCTTTTCGCTTTTAGAGAGTCATCATCAGTTGAGGTGTCTTTCAAGTCGCGTGACATACCCCATACGTTACTCATAACGAGTCCTGCTGACATAAAACAAATGTAAGCGAAAAGAGCTGTGAATCGGCGGTTTGCATTCGCTTCACAAAATGACTGCAGATATAGTCTCGGACGAACGTAAAAAGCACGATAGTAAATAATTTAATTCAGATTGAATTTAAATATAAATTTTTGTTGAAAGGATTTTCTAATAAGTAATTATTAGTCTACCGAGATTTACTTTAACAGAGAAGCTTAGGATTTCGTATCACAGCGATCCGTACATAATTATGAATGTAAAAAATATTGAGTTGATGCATGCAACATATAATCCAAAAATGCCAATTGAATCGTCAAATTTTTAACATCTTACTAACAAGTAGCTTAACAAATGGAAATTAATTATAATAGATTACATATATAATATTTAAGAAAAAACAACAATCGATAAATAATAATAATATGGCTTACATATTTTTAACAAATTTTTACGATTTTCAAAATTGTCCAGGAACATATTCTTTAAGCCGTTATATAGTAATATTGAAGTAGTTTAATATTAATAATTAACCCTTTCGCGGCGGAGTGCTCTGGAAAGAGTTGCGCTCTAAACAGCCGATGCCAGATCGACCGCGCGGACCAAATACGCGAGTCGTTCCGAACGCAGTGTGTATATAATATTTGACTATGTAAAAAAAACCTTTGCACAAGAAGCGTATGCTGCTAGCACGTCAAAAACAACTTAATGGACATTAATGGCAGTTGTTGATAACAAACGAACAGCGCCTTCGTACGAAGAGAGCGGCTCCGGATGGGCGCCATCTGGCGCTGTTCGTTCACCGCGGGTAAATTTGCCTGAGCGCCGAACGGCGCTGTTCACTGAGAATGAGCATCTATAGCTGAGCGCCTAAAGGCGCTGTTCGCCGCGAAAGGGTTAATAGTCATCAAATAATAAATTCTGTTTTAAAAATAAAGATTTCGAATATTATCTTATTCATTTAAATTGTAGTAATAAAAAAAACGAGTGTAAAATTGAAGAAAGATCGTGAAAAATATGCTTTCTATCGAATATACACATATCATATAAAAAAACAACATAGAAAACGTGTTCCCTTTTGAGCTGTTTACACAAGATATACCAAAATATTTCGACAACTTTAAGATATAATTTATCTCCAATTATGAACTCTAAATTTAATGAAAAACAAGTTTTATTTATTTGCGAATTCTTAAATTGTCGTTCCTTCATGTTGATCGATGTATGACTAAGACAAAAAATTGTGATATTTTGATTTTAAAACATCTGCATTTTATATTTTGATTTACCATGCATTGTCTAGAAAAAATGCCTGATTAAGACACCTCGCATATCAACTCTGTAGGATATATTAGCAACCATTATTTTTATATCATATAAATATTAGTCGACTGAGAAAAACAACACGAAAAAAGCAGGTGTACAATGATAGTGCAATTTAACGAATGCAGGGTCAACATTCACACAATTTGAAATGATATTTACGATCCTTTCGCTCGCAGCTCTTAACGCTCTTGTTAATAATAAACATTAATATTAATTTGCTTTTCAATTCAAATTAATATACGAGAACGGTGTATTCGCGAATTGCGAATGTCAGCTTGAGAGATAAGGACAAAACAATAAAGCGCGTGACAGTCTCGACAATTTTATATATTCTCATTAAATATGATACNATATATATATATATATATATATATTAGAGGTGTTAATGTATCGAACTATTACAAAAATTTAGTACATAATAAAAATAGTTTATTACTAAACAAAATTTGTATCCATCGGTGCACGGAATAGAAACCGTTTACGATATTGTCTGTTAAAATAACATCTCGTTTGGCCTATAAACATTGACTACTCGTGGATATTTTTTGTAGCTCAATTTGTATAAACAAAAGAAAGATAATATATATTAATTGCAACGTATCCACTTAAAAAGACACGTTGTTCGCAAAGGAATCAACACGACACAGGCTTGTCTCGAAAAACAATCTGTCCGTTATAAATTCCTACACATATACTCTTACATATTCATCATCCACATTAATGGAGAGCATGAGATGAGTGTTCTTATGTTATACAAAATTAATACAAATGCCACAATGGCATAATACGAACATTTCTTCTATGCAAAAGCGCAAATATCGAAGTTCGCGAAAATTTAGAGAGCCCTTCGTTTCATCCTCTGTTTCCCCGGTTTAAACACGTTGGATCCAAATGCCAATTGCTCGAAAACATTGCTTCGATTAACAATGTCTCAATTCATCTCGTTTCTCCGGAACAGCTTTCGACTTGGTTCAGCAATCGTGTTGCCATTATTCGTCCTCAATACAAAAACTGCGGCTGATCGTCGTCCTTAATCGTAGTCCTTCTTCTGAACCGCTTGACTCATTCTCCTCTCGCAACCGACTACGTGGGCATTTAAGACGAACCTGTGCTTGAATCTGCGGCCACAGAGGGGACATACTTCGCAAGGCACAACGCCGCATTCGAGCCGCTTGTGCCGACTCAAGGACGTCGTGGCCTTGTACGTTTTGCCGCACCTGTTGCATGCATACTTGGCGTCGCTCAGGTTCTTTCGCCGAGTATTCCTAGGCTTGTAGCCACCATAATTTTGGCCCCACGACAATTCGCTATTGTTCTGCTGCGACAGCAACATCGACGCCAACAGACCTGGAACGAGAGAACAGAGTGGTTAGATGCGCGCTTAGATCCGTCGCCGAACGAATGCTCTCCGTACCGGGAATGAACTGATTCGAACGACATCAATTAAAAATACGCGTGCAGTTGGTACGGTCGACTGAAACTTCAATTTTTTGTCTTTAACAGATTTCCCGTGTAACGTACAAGGAGGTCTGTTAAAAATACAAAGGAGTAAGGGGTTTGATTAGATGCGCATGGTCTCAGTTGTCAACTTTTTCTGAGATTCAATTGAAGTTTCTAAAAAAGCGCAAGACTGAATAGTCGGAATAAAATTCACAATCCGCGAAAAATAAGTCAATCGTGAGAAAAATGTGGTAATGTATGTTTACTATTCTTTACTGTAACTTTACCGTTCAATAGTACAATCAATCTTGTCGTTGCAAACAAATTAGCAAATTAGCAAAAGAGATATTAATATCGTCAATATATCGTATCACTTTTAATTACATTTTTATTAATTTTTAATTAATTAATAAAATATTGCAATGTAAGAATACATGTATAATTTAGATAAGTAGAATATTGTGTGGATTCAAAGATACATTTGAATGCTAAAAATGACTCAAGACATCGACATCAATGAAAAAACAGAACAAGATAAGAAAAATCTATTACATGGATACGATGCTAAAAATTAAAAATTAGGGATCATTATATCAGCAATTGATTAATTAATTGATTATGAGAATTTTCATAAAATTAATGCGTCTGGGAAACCTTTTACCACGTCGTTGATTACTGACGGTGTCTGGCAAGCATTGCAGTGCTTAGGTTCGTGCAGTTAGAATTTCCGCTTCGATCGGATAATCAAATAGGATCTGATTGAAAGTTACGCCCGAGCGTGACTGAAATTTAATCTTTGCAAGCTAAAAAGAAATGCGCTGCCGATGAAGATGCCATGATGCAGAAAAAATAGTAACTTATGAAAGAAGATCAGGTGTGTGAGGAAACGAAATAAGAAAATAAAAAAAAATAAAAAAGAAAGAACAAGACATGCTATTACGCGAACTTTTATACAAAGTAAATATCATAATCCGTTATTACAGTTCTCGGGTATTTTATTATTTGATAGGTATATAAATATAGATGTCAAGAGTAGGAATAATCAATTAAACGTAATTATTGTAGTGCATGATGACTTTTATTATGATATCGCAACAAATGGATTTTTGGATAACTCATAATAAAGAGTGCACATTCAATTGTACATGTATAGATTCTACTATTAATTCTGTACAACATGGGGACGGAAATGGGTCGCTGACCATTTCTTTGATAGTCTATCACATTTTTTAACAATAACGTTTTTATATCACTTATTTCTCAGCATGAAAGAATCGTACAAATGAGTTATAAACATTTTATATGATCGTGGGTTTATTAAGACAATATTTTATTAACGACTTTTTAAAGAGATTCATGAACAAAACGTATAGTTAAATAATTTTCTTGTCATTTTTTATGTAATTTTTATATATTAATAACTGTTGAAACACTAGCGTTAGAGACTTTTATCTTGCCTGACTTTAATCCCCGTTAATTTGTTTTTGATTTATATCATCAGAGTTTTACTGACATTTGTTAATTTTTTTGTATTAACCTTATCAAATAAGTTTAACAAACCATTAACTCTTTGATTCCTACCAGAAATTTTCTTAAAAGCAAACAAAAAACGGATTATTTAAAGAAATATATATATACAATATTAATTAGTCAATTAATATTTTCCAAACAAACTATTACGCTTTTCTTAAAAATAAATTGTCACTCTGAAAATACAACGCTCAAACATATCGTCATCAGAAAATATTGTGTACAATATTGTGTACAAATAGTGAAAATATTGTGAAAATATTGTGTACAAATAGAACAATTCGCAAAAATAAAAAAAAGAGACCCACTCATCGTGGATCACGACGCGGTCTTTGTTGCCACGAATCTCGGTTCATCTAAATCATCTTGTAAAGATGTGCTCTTTTTTTCCTGCAAGATTCCAGATGAGGAGTTAATATAAATCTATACGTAAACTTCTTGCCGCATATTTGACACTCGTGCTTGGGCTCAACACCGCACTCCAGTCTCTGATGTCTTCGTAGGGATGTTTCCAATTGATAACATTTGCCGCATCTCGTGCACTTGAATATCACTGGCTTCTTCGCGTATTTCAACGTCTCTATCCTCTTTATGACTAGTCGCGGAACTGAAAAACAAAAAAGAGAAGAATGGAAGATTAAATTAGAAGCCATGGTAGCGAAATTCCTGTCTCGTTTCTGGCGAAAGATCAAATACTATTCGGACATTAGACAAGAAATAAAGAAGAGAAATGAGCCTTTTAAAACCAAATTCTATTGTAATTTTGTCTTCATTATACGATGTTTATTTACTTCGAACATTATTAGAAACAAGGCCTTTTACGAATGCCTATTAAAATTAAAATTCATCCTTATTAACGTTAATAAATGATCGTGTAAGAACATGTATCTCTATGTATCTCCCTGCTTTAAAAGTACCATTTGCCTGATTTTCCATGATTATATATTTTCAAATTGGCAGATTCGGTGGCATCAATAGACAACTATTATTAATTGATTCTGGTTAACAATTCCTTCTTCTCTGCATAAGTTATAGTTTCATCAATAATATAAATAAAATAGGATAATTTAATCACAGTTAATGTTAACGAGGCAATAAGTTCTTTATTGTCGTCTAAATCAAAATTTCGCACATTCAATTGATGAGAAAACGATCAGAAATCGATCGGAAGGTCGAAAGAATAGTCTATTCGTTAAATGACAAACAGTGTTCATTTTTGATTAATATAAATATATATTTTTTTTACAACACTAAATGTTGTTTATGAGTTAAGTACACCTTCGTTGCGTTTAGGAAAAAAACGTAATTATCTATCAAAAAATTGTTATCACATTTATCTCAACATTGTTTTTTCATAACTTCTCCCACAGTCCGGACAAGACATCAGGATCGCATTAAACTTGAGGTTCATTTTCTCGTTCCCTGAAAGTGATAGTGGTTTTTGATTAGTAACGTCTTCAAAGGAAAATCGTCGCAGGCGCGATCGATACAAGAGAATCAAGATTTCGATGCGGTGGTCGTGTCGTTAATGAATACGTCATTAATTATAAATTTGTGATTGAAGCACAATCAATTTTATTTTACAAGTAGAATATCGAAACGTAACGATATTCGTGATTTTATAGTCTCAAGACGCGTTCTACGCGTTTTACATTAGAATCTCATGTTTAAACGTTATATATCGGTATTATATATTAGACAAACATTCTCTGTTGTGATTAATTGACGAACAAATGTCCCATCTCGACGTCACAGACATTAATAATGAGTCATATGGACGAGAGAATTTTTGCGAGGTATATTTGAACGTAATTATTTTATTTACAAATTTTCAATAACGCTTAAGCGTTCATTTTCGTGTAATCGTACGTAAAGATAATCAAAAAGCAAATATATAAACGTCATCAACAACGATTGTATCGTTGATAGATTCGTGATGAAAGTACTTTGCGATGATATATAATTTACAAAAAAATTTCTACTCCGTCCTAAAAGAATAACACAGTAGGATTAACGAGAAGATTCGCGCATGTCGATAACCTCGCGATTCTTCGATCGGTTCGCCGGTCATATGTTGATGTAGTGTATCAATCTGGCGTGCGACTGCCACCGATGTTTATGCTTGAACTTCCTGCCGCAGATCGGGCATTCGAAAGTCGGATCCTTTCCGCATTCAACTCGCAGATGTTTCTTCAGGGAGTCCCGCCACATGTACCGCTTGCCACATCGATAGCACGACCAGGACTTGATAGATACTGAAAAGAGAGCGTCGGTGATTATTAAACTAATCAATTTGATCCGCGTTTCTTGTCCGCAACATCGAAAGCGCATCAAAGCAATAACTACCTCAATTTCTAGATCGTTTCTCGTTGTGTTCGAGGACCTAATTTCGCTCGTATCATTGTGGTGAATAAGGTGATCATCGATGTTCTTACGCTTTCGGAATAAATATCGTCAAAGGGATTGGATCTTTCATTGTCCCGTGATATATGTACATTCCATCTTTCATTCGTTTATTAAATCTCCTAACTATTTTGGATATTGTTAATTGTACAATACAGAAAATTGCCCGCACTCAGAGAAATGAAAAGTACCTTGCATAATTCTGCGTAAATACACATAAAAAAATACAATGTGTTAAGTATATATTAAATATTTAAAACATTAAAACAATTGATAATTAGATCACTGTAATATTTAGGGTTGGGACCAAATTCGACACATATTCGGAAGTCTTATTAAAGTCGATTAAGAAATCAGGTATTATTGTACTGAAACCGAGTAATACTTAATACTTAATTGTTTGTTTCACATACTTGTAAAAAGATTTGCTATAATCAAATATGTAATCAAGCGTGTCTACCAAACATTGACATTGATACGAATGAACCAATGTGGTATCTTACACTCTTTACTTAAAAACATATAACAATATCAATATATAATCGCAAAAGATATATTTTAATTATAAAAGTTGCTATGTTTTAAAATACTTACATCGGATTCGATTACAAAATAGAAAGTTATGGTTCAAAAAATACTCATAAAATATTCGAGAAAGAGAATGGTGCGCGCGCGCGCGTGTGTGTGTGTGTGTGCGCGCTGCTAAGATAATGTATTAACACTTTGCGGTCCGTCGACGGCATGGTGCCGTCGTACGTATTTCGACGTTGCAGTCTGTCGACGGCACTGTGCCGTCGCGATCTGACAACATTGGTTTCATCGATAAATCGAAACACATACGGTTTTAAGCAATTGGCAACATGCAAAACAGATGAATAGCTATTCGTAGCTATGTCAAAACAAGTGATGATTGCTCCAAGTGTTAGGATTGTTCTTTCGGAACTAGTCTTTCGATTCTAGTCGATCGACAGATCTTAGCAGTGTAAACGCTATTGTGAGCTGAGGAAAAGCAAAAAATGTTATCTAACACAGATTTTTCTTCAGATAAAGAAATCCAAGATGTAGAAGGTAAATACGCCTCTTACAATCAGTCATTGATTTATTATATATCAATCGTACACGTGTTCTCTAATTGTATTTGTTTATTTATCTACTGGTTAGTTTCGTATTATGCCGTATTTTATATTATTTTGTTTCATATTATATAGTCGTAGATGATGTATTACCGATATTTCATCGACGTGTAGTAAGACGAATCTCGTCAGAATCATCAGACGATGAGAATATTAATTTATATCCGAAGTGAAAAAAACAATGTTTGCAAGCACATGTAAACTAGAAGAAAAATACGTTTTCTATTCTTTTATTAATCCTCTTGATATAATTTATGCGTTTAAAAAATCGATTATATCTATGTTTGACTTTTTTCCAGCTCAAAATAGACTATGATTTTAATGGTCTCAGAAAGTAAAGCTCTCACAAAACAGTTAACTTTTATGATGTTTAATAATAGAGAAAAAATTAACTTCCCGATAAAAGCTTTGTGAATACGCTAGGTTCAATAGTTTTTTATATATCGACATTTGTATAAGAAGAAAATCAACCAAATAAGCGCGGCTACTTTCATATTATGTGTTCGAGAAGTTCGAACACATTAGTCAAACGTCTTCGCGTAGGCCGCGGACCGCAAAATGTTAATACTATTGAAAATATACCTGATCCCATTCCTATAATAAGCATATACATTTTTGTCTGAAAGAAAATGACAAATAACAAAGAAGAGATATACTCAACTATAATAAACCAGATAATTGATGCAATGCTTTCTACACAAAAGTTGCGTGTCTTATTTTAGTACAAGTTTAAAAAATCAAGAAGAAAGTTTCTCTGTAGTATAATTTCATAAATTTGAATACTGATCTATTACAGAACTTAAATACTAAATTTAATATTAATTAAACTTATAAAATTCACTAACACTGTTACTGTAAAGTGTAGTGTGACTATAAATTCACTGACCTCGCCGTTAGAAAATATATTTACTTAAAGCTGCCTTTTTTATTTAGTCCCTAAGTACAATACAAACGAAGACTCAACGAAATTTGTCGATACGTCTCTGCGTATCCCGTTCATTTCGCTAAAAATATTGCACAAGGTACTTTCTCGTATAAAACTTTCTCTCTCTCTCTCTCTCTCTCTTTCTCTCTCGTCCTCTTTCTCCGTCTCTTCGTCCCTCTTCCTCTTGCTTTCTAAATTACTAATTATATATATATACACGCAAAAGTAATGATCTGGCAGGAAATTATAATCTTCGCGTAATTTTCCTCGCGTTACAAAGTAATGCTGTGCATGCACTTCGCGTGCGATTGCCAGCGATGCTTGTGCTTGAACTTCCTGCCGCATACAGGACACTTGAAAGCCGGCTCCTTGCCGCACTCCACCCGTATGTGATTCTTCAGGGAGCCGCGCCACAGGTAACGCTTACCACACTGGAAGCAGACCCACGTCTTCCGCAAGTAGACTGAAAAAGAAGAAAGATTTACGTAACATTTAATACCGGGAACCGGAGTACGGTTTATCTTTTACACTACCAAATTACCCTAATTTTTCGCGTTCACCCCGAAGGACAATTAGCGAGAGATGCACGACGACGAAACATTACACGATCTTAATCGCATCTATTGTGTGATTCACTTCTTCCGTGAGGGTGAGGGTGAGGGTACTTTGAGACGAGAAAGTTGCATATGTTCGTTTTTTAAATTGATTTTTTTCGTTAGACAACTTTTATATTGTTGTAACTCTGTATGTCATATTCGATCCACCCGACGACACATTGGTAGCTGCAAAACTTATGCTCGAATACGCTAAAGCGTTACAGAAAGGAAGAAACAGAAAAAGAGAGAANAAGAGAAAAAGAGAGAGAGAGAGAGAGAGAGAGAGAGAGAGAGAGAGAGAGAGAGAGAGAGAGAGGAGGGGGAGGGGGAGGGAGAATCCGTATTAGGAAAGTATATTCCCGTTATATTCAAATTAAACTTGCACATAATGACTTCTGTTTTTATCTGAGCAAGTAGAGTACCGAATTATATATATTTTTTTCTTGTAGAACCATATATGTTTATCGAACCGGTTTTGAAAGCGAGAAAAAGCAACAACCGGATCTCACTTATTCGATGATGAATGATTTATGTCAACTTATGCTCATAAAAATTTCGCGACGAGCGCATCATGGGAGTCAGCAAAAGACCACTTTCATTGAAGAAATAAAACTATCTCTTTATTGATATTGGCAGTCAACATTGTGAATAACAGTTTACAATATAAATGAAATCTCAGGAAACCTTTTGCAAGTCGTCAATTTATCGTCATCGTGGCCGTCGCACATGCACGTTCGACGTAAGGTGTGATTGCAGTCTGTGTTTGTACTTGAACTTCTTGCCGCAGAGAACACAGGTATACTTGGGCTCTTGTCCGCATAGTCGCAGGTGAGTATACATCGACGACTTTCGAAAGTAGACTTTGCCGCACACCTTGCATGGAAATACTACGGTCCTCTGATCGGCTTCACCTGAAAGACAGATTATAAGTGATACGTGATGCGTATAAATTGCGCTCCATCGCGAAGTCTTGAGCGAGTGCTCGCTTCGAGACTCGAAACCGCGTCAGCGAGAGGGGCAAAATCGTGTGGAATTTTTTACGATTTTTTAGGATTCAACTGCAAACGTTGAAAGAGCAAATAGAAGGCAAATAGACTGCAAATAGAAGGGTGAACTCGGGGACCAAAACATACAGAACTACGAGGCGCTTTGAAGCTTCGCAGATATGAAACGCATCATCGGTCTGTTGTCGCCACGATCTCGCCGATGCGAACGAGTACATTGAATAGTATCAATGACTTCATTGACGAACTAAAGTTGCTCGTATGCTCGATTGATTTGTATCAATATTGCGGGGCACTTAACGATCGTGAAAGTTTCGAGTTGGATCGCTCCAACCAATATCTGAAAACAATGAATAAGGCGTGATTTCGGTCTCATTGCTTTATTAGGAAATTTCCACGGACACGTTAGGCCAATTCAAATTTGTGATTCACTTCGTATCGTGCACTCATAGCTCTAGAAGAAATTGAGAAAGAGGGAAATTTTGAAAAAAAAGGATTTATCTCTCGCGTCATTCGCAAGAACGGTTTTGTGAATCGTTAGATGTTTCTTAAGATGGTACTGGTGTTTGAACTTCTTGAAACAAACGCAGCATTTAAACCTCGGCCACAACTTCGCGTATGACTATACAGAGACGACTTGCAGCCGTAGATCTTTCTACACATCACGGGAACACTATGATCATCTGACTCGTCGCATCTGAAAGCATATTATAAATAGTGCATGTTTATGATGCATTCTATAATGAAGCCGCGCGTTTTGCCTTCTTCGTTGTGCCGATATTATATATATCTCGCGATTTTTCACGTTTGCTACACTTTGCGCGCAAAAATAACTAAAAAATAAAAATTATTTATTTTTCGATGGGTAGTAAAATATATTTATTTATATTTAGTGAAATTGTTCCTAACGTGGTTTTGTCAAAGGAAGAATTTATATACCTTTAAAAATAAGATACGAATTTTGTAGCGCCATTAAATATATTAATATCGTGAATATTAATATATATTGTGAGGAATAATATAATGCTGAATATAACGTTTGAATATGTATTAACGTACATTAGGATTATGCTCTGTTTTACTGCACGTAGAGAACTTTTAATGTCAATATTTACTTATATCACAATATACATATTTTTACCCCAAGCAAAAATTGCTATAAAATGAGAAAATATATTTTCTTAAATTTGTGATTTTGCATGAAGGCAATTGTTTATTCTATTTAAGTAAAATAATTTCGATTTAAATAAATATGTTATTATTGATGTCCACCGCGAAGAAATATTTTTTTATCTTTTAGATATTTCTTCTTTCAGTGTAATAGAGGCTT